CCTAAACGAAATATGGTGAATACATCTCATATTACTGATTTAATTGTAGTCTCTACTTACATGCAAAAAGTAAGCACATTGTTAAAAAACAAATTAATTATATTTACTTGCTCTACTGTATTAATTTCATGATGCATGTAGCCTCCAAGAGGTATCAGCTTTAACTTTACATCAGGATCGGTTGTAAGGTTGCCAAGAAGCTTGCATAAAATTGGACAAAGACTTGAAGCAAATGACCTAGCAGCAATCAAGGGAAATACGCATACTTTGATATAGAAGCTAGTTCGTGAGCAGACCATATTGCGGCATCGAGTTCTACCTCATAATTTGATTCAATTTGTACAAGAATGGCATGATGAACACCAAAGTGTTCTTGAGTTATGTTGCATAAAATCCCGAAAAATCTATAGATTCAAAACCAATCATCAGGTTACCTAAGCGTAAGAGCTCGGGCTGCTGGATCATTACTCGAAGTGACGGGCATAAGCTGGCGTACAATGTCCTCAGAAACAGTCAATTTATCCAAATGAGTTCTGCATTCTGTGCACGCCCTCAGTATGCAAAGACGTATATAATTATTTCTTTAAAGATAAATAAATTTATATTACCCTTCATAAAATAGGGATGATATCTTAAGAAGTATAGCATTTATAACCATGGGGAATGGATATTTTTCAATAACATCAGGAAATTGTGCAATTGCTTTGCATTGTTCGCCGAGAGTAAATGATTGAAGGCCTATATAAAAATGTATTACTTGTAAAAAGCTAATTATAAAAAGCGTTCTTTGAGGATAAGACGAACCTTTATTCAATTCCATCATCATAATGTTGGCATCTTTGCCGAGATGGGCCTCAGCAAGGAACGGTGCATCAGAAAACATGAGGCGAGCAGTCTGGCCAAGTACAGGCTTTAGTTAGTGCAAGCTTAAGTCAATAAAAGCTTTTTAAGAGGTTCTTATTGATAAGAGAATAAAAATATTTTTATACATGAAAGTTCTATTATCTTTTAATTACATTGTTTGAATCAATACTGCCGTCATTCAGACCGCTGGCTTCAACCGGGTTGAAAACTGCCCTTGCCTTCCCACTGCAATGCATGAGGTACAGCGTCACTCATATATCTCTTTTCCTTCTTGATTTATAATATAAATGGAAGTAGCTTACGTGAATTTATTCCACTGGTATTCCCTTACTTATTGTCCCATCAGCACTCTCAATCCCAACTTCACCTGCGAATTGTATTCATCTTGTTCCTGAATATCCTGAAAACTTTTTATTTCTGTTTTTATGCTATTTAGGCACCCACTCTCATAAGTCTGCCTATTTGAATCGCGTCATGTCGAGTTTCTTCGCATGCAAGCAGGCTGTGAACGTACCAACTGCTAGCATCGATGGTAACTTTGGATTCGTCTTAATTTTTGTATTTTCTAGGACTTAACACATCTCAATCTCCAGTGGAAGATAAAAATTCCGAGTTTCCCTCATCTGTAGCGCATATGAACAACTTTGCGGCCAATGGGAGTGGCTCTTTCGGTTTTGCCAGCAATGCTCCTGGAAGTGCTATTATGCAGGGCTCCTGTAATCCTAGTGGATCGGAGGCTTTTTTGGGAACTCCAAATGCTAATGACTGGATACAGCTGACAAATTCCACTGCTTCTACAGAGAATCTGATCAGCAAAATTGCAGCTCTTAGTTTCGAGGAAGCTCGTCCCCTTTGGGCAAGTAATGGCTCTCCTAACATTGTCCAACAGTCTGACGGAACATGTCTCCCTACCTCAATGCCGTGGGAAATTCTCTCTGCCAGTCCTTCCACTCAGCCTATCGATGTTCAGCGTGGAGGGAGAGATCGAAATTCGGCAGGTTCTTTCATTGGCCCTCCTGGTGGAAATTTTCTTCTCAATAACTTGAGCAACAATTTAGGAGAAGGAGGTCTTCTTATGTCGCCCAGTTCCAAGGATATGGCTGCTTTAGGCATGCAGATGGTTGACCAAGTTTTGAGCAACTCACCTGGAAACGGAAGTGAGTTTGGAGATAAATTACACGTTTTTTTTACAATTTATTGATTATCTTTTTTTACTTAGATTTCTCAAATCGGGATGTCATCGAAGGTGTGATTGCTGGTGCATTAGGCAATAATGGCAATCTAACTCCTGGCATATCAAATATTTTGCCTACGAGTAATAGTTCCGGGAGCGGATTTCCATTTAATATAATGCCCACCTCTCAGACCCCACTACAGCATCCTAATCAGTTTTCTGGTGGCACTGGTGGAGCAGGCTTCATGCAGCATACTTTTCCTCAGACAAATCAACGTACAAATCACTTTTATGTCCAGCAATCTCAAGCACAGCTTTTGAGTGGGCCATCACTTTCACAACTACCCCATAGCGGTAGTGGTATGAATGACTTCAACTTGGTTGGTAATTCAGGGCGTTATTCTTCCGTTGATGGTGATATAAACCAAATGCGTCATATCGCTGTTAGCTCCAGTGGGTCAGAAACTCCGAGTGCCGTGATTCCTACCCCGTCATCGAACGGTAAGTCTTTATTGTGATATTTTTTTGCTAATTTTATTTGGAATATTTCATTTTCTATTTTTCTACTGCAGCTCCTTTTGTGGATCCCGCAATCCTTTCTGCTGCATATTCTGGCTTACCTTCTTCTCTGGTAGGTGGGGACGTGTTTCGACCTGGGAGTCAGCCTTCCACATTTCAGCCCTCAAGTGTTCATCAGCAGACTCAACACTCTGGATTTAATTTTGGGCAAAGCGCCACCGGCTTCCCTCTTTCTTCCAATGTTTCTTTGACTACTGCCGATTTTTCTGCCCTCGTCCCTTCAAACGATGATCTTCACTCAGCAGCAACAGGATCTGGATTCGTCAGCTCAGTCAGTGAGCCGGGAAGTGGATTCCCACCAAATGCATATCCAAACCCAGCTCATCAAACCCATAACAATTTGTCAATGTCGTTTGCACCTCCTACCTTAGTTAGTGGTTCCGGTGGAAGTAGTAGATTGACTGGCTTGTTTGGGCCTTCTGTTCACAACCAAGACCCAGAATCCATTCAAGTTGCAGCCTTATTAAGCAATGGGGAAAGTGGTGATATGATTGGGCCTCCGCCTTGTAGCATCACGGGCCTTTACATCAGTGATCATTTTCTTTCAACTTCAAAGGCTGGATCTGCCGCCAGTCTTGCAGATCTTTCCTCCATTAGACCAACTGCACCTACTGATGGGGCACCTGATTTCTCTTCTGGGTATTCAATCTCGCAGTCTGGAATCAGTAAGCTTTCGTCTCCCTACTTTTTTTCCCGGTTGGCATGTTTCTATATTATTTCTCACTTTAGGCCCATTTGGAACAGCTCAACTTGACATAACGGCTGGTCACCAATCTATGTCTAATGGTCCCTTTGGCCGTGGAAAATCTCCACATAATCTTCCTGGTGGTTCTTTGAATCCATCTCAACAACAGCCAGGAGGTGCATATGCGATGGCAAATCCTGATTTATATAATCCACCTCTTGCGCCTACTGGTCAAATGTCTGGCTCAAATCACTTTGATTCCATTGTTAATGCTAATTCATTGAATCGGCAACATATTCCAACATCTACTCCTATTGCAAATGATTTCCTTGCTTCGAACAATATGGCTTCGCCTGTATCAGCTGGTCAGCATCTAATGGTAAATTTTTATGTATTGTTCTTATATGAACTTTGGGTTACTGCTTTCTTATCTACTATTTATTATTTTTGCTTTCACGAATGTGACTAATGAACTTTGCGTGTCTATACAAGTTTTTTTTTCTTACTTTTTCTGCATTCATCTTCGATGTCTCGTCTAATCATATTTACTTGTCTTAATAATCAGAGCTCAAAGGAACTATTTTATTTCTTTATTATTCTTTGGCCATTTACCGTTTTTATTATTTTTGTTTTTTAGAAAATATACTACATAATACTTCGTATTTATTTAATAATATATATGGTTTTACTTTTCTTGGAAAATCCAGGCTTATATCTTCTTAAAATTGATTTTTCCAATTATATTCTCGCTTAATATTAATGTGTTGCGGATGCTTGGTTTATCTGCATTCATTTGACTAATCCTTATCCTACTAAAAAAGCATTTTTCTCCATATGTCTTTGGGTTATTACTTTGTCGACGTACCTATAAATTAATGGTATCTTGTACTTTCCAAGAGGCATAGCCCTATTTTTTCTTTTTATGAGCTAGTTTGAGTTTTAGGTGTTTTCCTTCATTTAAACTATTTCTAATATTTTAATAACCTTTACATTTCATGGAAGAAATCTTTTGAGCAATCACTTTTTGTTCTGCATATCACTCCATCTTTTTAAGAATATATCTCAGATTAGTAATATCAATCAGTCGGCTATCATACAACTTTACAAACTAGCCATAATAGCCCGAGTGATGTCGACAATATTAGTTCATCACATAACAGCCTTACAATATGAGCTCTTTTTTGGGTTAGTCCATTTAGCTTCACTTTTCTTGTTAAGCCTTTCTCAATTTAACTAATTCACAAGAACAAAACTTCCGATTTAATGTGAGAATTATTGTTTGGTTTAGCAAGAATCGATGTCTTGTTATATATATCCTAGACGTTTCATGCGAATAATTGATTGCACATAGTAAAATTATATTAAAAAGGGTAACTACTGATTGACTGGCTATAGCCGCTTATGGCGCTGATCGATCAGTGGAGGACCCTCATTCACTGGCCAAACATGACTTTGTATAACAAAACAATGCGATTTTGATACTTGAAATTAATGAAGATATTAAGATACAATATTAACCAGTTGCTGTGTGTTTGTTTTATGATAAGCAAATAGCCACACTAGGTCCTTGATTATAGAATAGACATTCATCCTATGTTATAGGGGTCTTGCTCCTTCACATCTGATGACTTCTTAAGAAAAGAGTAAAAAATTTTTGTTTACCTAGGCCTCAAATCCAAGTTTACTTACTCATGGAGGCCTCTACCAGACACCTGCACCTGACTCACCCGGCGACCCCCATTCTCAACAGCATCAACAAGCTACTCTATTCGCTCAGTCGATGCAGCATCTACTGGCGACGGCTGCTGCACTTAACGGTACGGGCAGTACTCAACAACAGCAGCAGTCGCAGCAGCAAGCCCAATCGGCACTCCAGCAGGATTCGGTCGGACACCGAAGTGGCTCGGCCACTGCTGCTGATGTTTTTGCATCTTTACAGGCTGCAGCAGCTGCTGCTGCCGCTAGTGGAGGTAGTGGCGCCCCAGGCTCCGCCTTCTTAGTGCCTCAGCATCCTGGCTCAGATGTTTCACTGAGCAACTCTGCCGCTGCTGCTGCCAACATGCCACCACCTGGTCTGGCCGGCCATTCAGGCCTTCCATTACAACATGCACATCCACAAGC